ACAAAAATAGCTGGACTGACTAAAATTTTCGGTGAATCCACCAATTCAGTGGGATCCTAAATTGTCTCCAGCAATGTAGTAAATAGTGCCTTTTATAACAGATTGATCTGACAAAGTAATTCCATTTTCCTCAAGGTCTTTCAGGTCTGCTACTAGCTCTGAGAAAACACTTTCATGGCCGAAGTCTTTAAGGTCTTTCTCTCTGCACAACATAACCAGCTGCATATGCTCGGTGTTTGACCTGAGATGAGCTGGCAAATTAACAAGAGAGAGGTATACAGCTAAAATTTTGTGTTTTTTTCGTGCAGACCCTAAAGGGTTAACCACCTCAAAAGCATCCTGATAGAGCATAGAGCAGTAGCTTGGGTGGTCTTGAGAGAAATCCCTGCACTTCAGTATTTGGCCATCTGTGCAATCACAAATCACAGAAGTAGAGTTTTTTTCAGGCAAGTGCATCGAAATGCAATTCCTCCCAAAATCTGAATTTAACAGACACTTCAATGTGTCTTTCACAGGTACATAGTATGCAAATTGCTCTGTCCGATTCTCATCTCTACCTAACAGTATTCTTTTTGGTTCAACATATTTGAATACTTTTTTAAAGGTCTGACTCCTTTGAATACTCTGTTCGCATGGGTCCTTTATGACACACAGAAAACAAGGAAAACAAGTTCACAGTAGCAAAGATTTGAGAAATTGTCTCATTGGGTAACGACAAATTCTGCAAAAGTGGCAAAAGTGAACTAAAAGTATATGTCTGTCCCAATTCGTGAATATTTTGCATCTCATCTACAATATTTTGTATTGTAGAAGCTGGGAGAAGAAACTGTCCTTGTAATTTAAGATAAAACAGGCTAACATTTCTCAAATACAAATCGTCAAAATTTTGAAACGAGTCCATTTCACTTACTTCTGACTCACCTGTATTTGGATCCAGGTCAGCAGGACATTGCTCAGTTGAAACAGACGGTATCTCTGATGCAGAAGGCCGATGTGAATCACTAATGCTGTTAGCTGAACAGTTCCTGTGCTTTCTAGACATATGAGAGGTAAAAGAGGACTTGATTTGAAAAGCACTTTTGCACCCTCTCACTGGACAGTAAACTGCACGACCTTCCTTTATATGGTTCTTTAAGTGAGCAACAAGACTGGGCACATCCTGGCACTGATAACTACATAGTGAAATACTACATGTCAAGGCCGTATCAACCACTGCATGTGCAGTCGCAGCAGTGGTAGAGCTGTTATGGCGCCGATAAAAATGACTCTTAAATGCTAAGTATTTGGAAAACGACTGTTTGCAATCAACTGCGACACATTTGAAAATGGCGCGAGGTTCGTTCCGATGCAGTCTGCAGTACAGAACATATTCCCTCAGAGTTTGCACTGTTAAACTACAAAAGTAGCATGTGTACATTTTAATGCATATTCAAAACTTACTCATAGTGAACTCGACTAATAACCAATCCGAGATATCGTTTAACGTTAAACATGAAGTTCGCCTCGCCATGGTTACAACGACAGACTGCTAATGTTAAACTGCGTTACAAACGTTTCAAAATCAAAGAAATCAGAGCGAATTCGTTAATTTCCAATGTGTGAGGTTAACGTTATATATTAAAAGGATAACGTAAAACGTTACCATCTAGACAGCCAACAGGTCCACGTCATGTGAGTTACAATGACGTTAAAGATATGAACATAAAATAAACATACTTTACAGTTTTTCACCGTTAAAACTAAGGACATTTTTTACAGTGTACCATTGCTATGTTGATGACACGCAGCTCTTCTCTCATTTCAACCAGATGATCCAACGGTAGCTGCACGGCTCTCAGACTGTTGTGAAGGACTACACACTACAATCTTTACATTTGAGAAACATGTAACATTTGCCAGATTTATTAAGCACCACTGACAAGGCAGGAAATTGCTCTCCCTGCTAGACTGACATCAGCTGTGAACACGACATTACAGAAACACAAACCTTCAAACGCGATTTTCAACCAGCAATTCATGATTTCAAATTGTGTTTATGATTCCATGAAAATGAAGCATGCCCACATCCATACTCAAATGTCAGCTCAATTTTAAACGCCTATTTCACAACACAAAGTTCAGCAAACAGCAGGACAAGATCATGAATCACAGGAGTCTTAATGAGCTTTCGTTAGGATGTCAACAGCAGGAGCTCAGGGGGAAGATCAGACTTACAGTTCTTTGTTCTTATTTTACGGAGGTTATGCTGTTCCCTTGCTCATAGATTTAGAAAGTTCTCATGTATGTGTGTAGTGCTGACCAAGCAGGAATTTTTACCTCTCAGCAAAAGTTTATTTCTTTTTTTTTCTGCTGTTGGACATATCAGTTCTGAAGACAAATTCAACAAAAAGTTCCAACTTTCATTCTCTGTTGTCCTGTGCATTATTCTAGTAGAATGCTTATATTTCTATTTGTCCAGCAGGTGATCAGAGCTTTATGGATTTTATTTATAAAGTAAAAAAATATTGTGCATTGTAAATTATATTTCATTGACAATTTGATAATTAACAGGAACATATTAGATATGTAATTAATCATCAGTATATATCTGCTTCTATGCATATTAAATTCCAAGCACTACTTTGACTACAGACTGTAAATATAATAGCAGTTTTACTGTATTTTGATCACATAAATGAAGCCTTGTTGAGCATATTCATTTTCATTTATGATATATTAATTTTTATGTACAGTATGTATGTATGTATGTATGCATGTATGTATGCACTGTATGTATGTCTGTATGGGTGAAATATGACCCAGACATTCTTGATTGTAGATTCATTTTGCAGACAGACAAGTGATTATTATTACCACTCTAGTGTTACTAAGTGCTGCCCATATTACATAAGCTGGGCTAACACGAAAGAAACCCAAGCTTGTTGATTTGATCTCTGTTGCTGGGAAAAGCCTTCTTGCCTTTTAATCTGTTTTGCACTTGGCAGCATGCTGAGTGTAAGCGTGTGTCTGTGTGAGAGTTTGAGAGCCTGTGGAGATTGATTATCTCAGAGGACCAGATAAGCACAGTGTATTGGAGATACAAGAAAAAGGCCAGCGGTTCTGATGTACAATAGCAACACCGGCACTCCAGTGCCAATCACATGAAAACATCCTGCAATCAGACAGCATAACAAACTACATTTTTTACATTTTCTAAACAAAATGTGAGCAGTTGCTAAGGTGTTTTCAGTGGTTTCTCACTGGCAAAGTCAAAGGACAGCGCGTCTCAAAAAGCAATTTGAATAGCTCCATCAGAAATAATAACAACCCTCTTTCTTCTCATAGTTTTATCAAACACATAATCCTGCACGATTTTTAGAACGTCACGTGGAAACTCTTGCTCTTTCTGAATAAGAGTCAACGTGACTATAGTAAACAGCGGCTGTGAGTTTAATGTATGACATTGCGAGCATGAATAAATAAATAAGTAAATAATATATGAGATTAAGTAAATGTCACAAAATCAATTTGTTCCACCGCAAAACACCAGAAGGTTGCTTCACTCCACGTTTCACCAAGTATTGTTTGCAATCTCTGTTATATTATCAAAATAATTAATTAAGCTGCACTGTAAAAAAAAATCAGTAAAATTTACAGTAAAAAAATGGCAGCTGTGGTTGCTGGAATTTTACTGTAAAAAATACGGTAGCAACGTTTTAGATTTTACGGTTTTAACTTAAATTTACAGTTAAATACCGTAATTTCATTAACTGATATAATGTTAATATACCAACCTATTGAAGTACTGAAATCTGTTTTGTAACTTTGTAATATACTGATAACCACCAAATGCAGGTGGTGATGAGAAAGTCACATGATGAACCAAAGCCCATCACAAGCAGCTTTTAAATAATAACATATATAGAAGGTGCACAGTGTCCGGTTATTCACTGTAAATTATACAGTCTTTTTCCACTTCACAAACGGTATACTACCGTAAAATTGATGTCCAATACATGTAATGTCCAATACAGTTTTCACCGTATATAGTAGGGGAATTTACCATTAACCATTTAACAGGTTTTTACTGTAGCATTTTTACAGTCTTTTACCGTTAAATTCACGGTCATTTTTTACAGTGTGCGGGAACTGTCCACTGGTGATAGTCAGTATATATTGAATACATGTTCTGTCCTTAGCTAAGTCTGATAGACACAGTTGTCAGTAACACATCATGTACAGTATTAGTGTAATATTTTACCCTAATACCATGGGGATGTTGAATGTTTGAATCTGATTGGTTGATGAATGTTCTAAGGTGTGCAGTTATTTTCAGGGAAACGCATGGCTAAAGTATATTGGTTCCAGGCTGGTCTTTACTGCATTGCATATCCATATCACTTTGCCAAATGATTTCAGTTATTTCAAAGGTCCTTACAGCCTACAACAAGAACCACAACCCACAACGACACTGACCAAGCCAGTAAATATAATAAAATAGGACGAAAGGGACAAGATATTTCCACAAAATTGCACTTTATTAGCATTAGAAAGCATGCTTTCCAATACAAATGCACACACACACAAAGTACAGATACACACATGCACACAGGCATACACGCACAGACACAAACATACACGCGCAGAGCAACTTGTCAGCGTTGCCACACAACTTTATCAATAAAACAGTTTTGTAGCTGAAAAGCTGCATGGCATTTCTCAGTAGTAAGGTGGTAATGTTGCTGTTCTTTAAGCAGTTAAACTTAACAGTTTAACTATCAACACATTCTCACTCCCAACTGACGCGAAAGGCACTGGGAATTTTATTGTCATGATTAAATTATTTATTGGGTAATAATATTGCCATTACTGCATATATGTTGGGGTGTGATTTTTCAGTGTTTTAAACAGACACAACAGTTTTATTTACATTACACTATTTGCACATTTATGAGCATGTAACCCAACCCCTGCCCCTAAACATACCATTTGTCAATAAAACACAAGATATAAGAAGCAGATACAGCTACAGGCATAATTTATTCAAAAAATATTAATATTCCAAGTCTTCTGAGGCAAAACGATTGATTTGTGAGAGGAATAGATGCGGTCGCCATCTCCGTCCGCTGTAAAGCTCATCCTGTGTGCAGCAGTCTGTGCGCAAATTCAAAAAATGCTGCCAGAAGAAGCCTTACGTCAGCCTCGGTTGTAAAATGTCATTGGCTCTTGCAAGTCTTGTGACTGATTGCGTCATGCTACGGGAGTATCCTTTTGAATGAGATGTGAGCATGTTAATGAAGCGGGATCATTTTCAGTGATTAAAACCTTATGCTTTACTCTCTTCTTCGCATAATATATTGTATGGCTTCAGAAGACTTGGAATGCAACAGAACCTGTTTGTAATGCTTTTATACTGCATTTTATATGGTCAGTTTTTGCAATAAATAGGCCTACCTGTGACTGTACTTTTATTTGCGTGATACCTGTTTTATATTGTTCAGAAGTGGGCAGGTTTAGGGTAAGGGTGGAGTTAAGTGCTCCAATGAATGTATAAATTTATATAAAAGTATTTCAATTTTTTTTTCAAATGCATGCAATCCATTAAATTAAGACAAACAACTGAAAACAATGGAGGACCCTGCACGTCGCAAAGTAACGCTAAAAGGATACCCCTGGGCGTTGAAAAATTACGCTAAAGGGGTACCTTGTGCGTCAAAAAGCGATGCCAAGGGGTCCTTACCAATCGTCAATATGTGACGAGTTGGGAGTGATACGTGTTGTCACTATGAGTAAAGACGCCGCTGCCAAACACTTTTGAAAGATACACAGGTCTCAGGTAATTCACAAATGCTTCACTTAGCAACAATGAATCTCTCTGCATTAATAACTGAATTATAAATGCATTAATAACTGAATTATAAATGGCATAAATCTCTGTTATTAGCTCTAAAATTATGTTTCGGCATTAGCAACGGAGTCTTGAGATGCGATGCGATGAATTATTAGAAAAATAATGCACACATGACGCTTCGAATTGTGGCCTCATTACCACCTCTAGTATACAGTTTTAGGCTTTCTATTGAAGTGCAAAAAAGCACACAATAAAATTACAAAATTCAACTTTTCCACATTTCACAAAAAAAAAAAAAAAAAGGTAACAGTAAATCTGCCCATACCTTTGACACCTTCTTAAAATACAGAATGTATGTCAAACTCTTTTCAGCAGGTTTCATCTGCTGATGTCAACAGTGACTTTGCCTCAGCAAACTCCACTAATTAATGTGAACAACTGCAATCCATCCTTAACCTCGTCCTATCTTTCTGAGCATGCGAGCTACCAAGCAAGTCTTTGCACATTTTTTATGGACTGCGAAATAAGGCCTTTCAACAGACTTCGGAACTTCTTACATTCTCAAGCCAAATTAAATTGATCTTCACTAGGCTTTTTAAAAGTCATTATGCAGTGGGCGACACGCAAAGACCCCTCTCTCTCTCTCATTGTCTTTCTGTCAAGGGCTCTGTGCTGACAGAGTATGAGGAATACCTGCC